TTATGTAGCAAATAATATTTATATTTCAGGAAGTTTGGGGGTTGCACAGGAGAAAGACAGGGGAGAGCTAGAAAATATCAAAGCCATTGTACTTCACAGTTAATAAGCAATTGTTTATTTGATATTGTTTATGTTAACCTAGCAGAAGTTGAATGGTTATTTTCTTTTATTGCAGGTATATCTTTATATAAATTGAGGAGAATCAGCAGCATTAAATATTAGAGCACTGTGGACATTAAAAATAGCAGATAGTTCTTTTAAGTTATTGACTTTACATTGATGTGCTCAAGAATTGTAAGCTATAGAATTATTGACCTACATATAATTTTGAGTAATTTTTGTTACACATATGTAATGGGTTTCAACACTGAAGTTCCCAGTCAGGCATGGGAATTAGATACAATCTATGCCCTGGAGACTTAGACTGGCATAGTTGAGTAGTTCTACATTGGTATAATTATGATCAGCCTAACATCTGGAATAATCAGTTTTATATGTTTAACTACTCTGAACTCTCACCCAAATCAGATAGGCATTTAAAAGTAGATTTTCTTCTTAATAGTGTAGGAAATTAACAATTGAGACAATACTCTGACTTTATGGGGATATTTGCATATTTGCCAGTAAATCTCAGCTGATAAAATTTCTTTTTTAAAAAGATTACAAACATGGGGGCCTCCCTGGTGGCGCAGAGGTTAAACACCACACTATGAAGCAATCCTCAACCTCTGCAGCAAGAGTTCGATCCCCAGCCGGCCAGGGACTAACCCACATGGTGAAGCCGACCTCTCCGGTCTCGCCTGCTGCTCCCCTCAGCAGTGTACTTCGGTCAATCTGCCTCTTCTGTTCTCCACTCTGTCTCTTGTGAATCCTCTCACCCCCCTGCATCTCTGGCCTGTACCCCAGCTCTTGTACATGTAAATAAATAAATCTTTAAAAAAAAAAAAAAAGATTACAACTTGGGAAAGAGCATTTAAACAATATTATTGAATTGTTTGAACTTATTTACCTTAGAAAATGATTAGGAAATTCCATGAGGTTTTTGAGATAGGTGTTTTATGGCACTGTATATTTACTCTCAGAAAACAACTGCATTTATTGCAGACAACATTCTTTATTTTGCTACTCACATTCCTTCTGGTCAGTAGAGGGAGCACAAGTTTTCTAACAAACTTTTCATCACAAAACTGAGGTGACATCATCAGTGATGGTACAAAGGGGGAACAAATCTAGGTCTGTTTATTTTGGTTCATGTTCCATGAGCCCTGTGAAAAATGAAAATTTATTAAGTAGAAAGTAACCAGAAAGATAAAATGTATCAGATTTAGACACCACACTTTAACTAGAGAGGTACAGAAGAAGATAGCATAATTTCTTTAAAATTTGAAAATCTCGGTTGTGATGATGTGTGGATTGGTTATTGATTAAATTTAGTTTTATTTGTGATTTTGTTTGTTGTTATATTGCTTTATTTCCTTACCATAGATTCTAAATGTTATTGTAAGTCTGTCTAAAGTGGTTACTACTTTTCTGTAATTTCCTTTTTTATTGAGATAATGCTGGTTTACATTGTTGTTTGTGTTTTGGGACTGACTATATGACCCCCCTTCAGGTGATATTACCATAGTGTACCCACTACCAAAGTGCCCATTGTCCACCACTACAGTCCATTGTGCCCCCTTCCTACTTTGTTCTTGATTCTCCCCTTCTCAATCTCTCTCTGGATTCCCTAGTTCTATAGTCAACTTTCAAGGATTAGTTTTTAAATTTGGCTTTATCTGATCCTTTGTTTGGTTTCTATATATTCCACCTATCAGTGACACCATCCAGATTTGTCTTTCTCCTTCTGACTCAATTTGCTTATCATAATCCCTTCCAGCCCCATCCATGTTGCTGAAAATAGCATGAGTTTGTCTTTTTTGATACCTGCGTAGTATTCCATTGTGTATATATATGAAGTGGTTACTTTTATGATGAGCTTAATTTTGGTACAAAAAAATGAGGTGGTGATTTATGTGTGTGCTGCTTTTTGTATTCTTTAAGATCCAGGATTTTTTTCTCAGAACAGTGTGGTAAATACTGATTGCATTGTAATTACTTAGTCATTAGTTAAGAAAATACATTTAATTCAAAAAATTGTACACCAAAAAAATCCTTTATAATTGTAGCTTATACTTCTAGTGGGATATTTCCAAAACTTGTGGTGTATCACTGCTGCTATTTTAATTACTCTACAAAGAGATGATGCAGATGCTTATTTGTGATACTGTGTTAGAGATTAAGTACAGACAGGAACAAGTCATTTTAAGATTTTACAGCTATCAAAATAATATCAGTAAACATTTTTATAACATTTTTACATTGAAAAAAATGAACAGCTCTGTAAATTAAGTTAGGCCAATTGGAAGTAGGTTTCTTTTATAGAGGAGTTAATTGAGATGTGTTGAGTTTTAGTGAGCTATTCAAGGATATATTGTACATTAGTAGAGTCAACAAAACCAAAATCTAGAGCTCTTGACTTCGTAGTTCAAGGAGTTACCAACTTAAGAGTTCATGCAGCAGTAATCTAAGATGGATGGTGTGAAAAAGGAAAAATTGTTTACATTACCAATCCTTTGTTAAGTGCCTATTTTGTGCAGGGCAATGTGTCATTAATTTTGTTTGATTAAAATAACTGCCACAAAACTACATTGTGTTGTGGTAATACAAATAGTACACAAAGAGCATTTAAAACAATAAAAGATTCATCACATATGAAAGCTAAGGGTACTTTTTAGGGCTAATGAAATAGAGAACTCTTCATAAGCTAGTATAGCATTGAAGGGGGAATTTGGAGGAAATAACCAGGGGTGTTTCATTTACAGGTGAAGAGAATGACTGTACTTCTTGGAGTAGGTAACATTTCATGTTCTCTTAAATAGGTTTACTAGCAGTCAGGTTGAACAAGATTGGTTTTGGGAACTATAATTAAGAATAAATACCAAATCGATGTATCATCAGAGAGATAGCTTAGACCTTGGAGACTACCTAGTTCATTTGCTAATTTTACAGCTAAGGAAACTGAAACCTAGAGTCATTCTTAGTTATTTGCTCAAGGTTAGTTACATTGCTTGATGGGGGCAGAACTAGAGTTAAATTCCTTCTAAATGCCTGAATATGAAAAAATAGTGATATAGATTAATAACATAGAATTTACAAGGTGGCAAATTGTGAAAAATATATTGATGTAAAGTTGAATATAATTTTTGCAGAGATGTGATTTCCATCAATCTTTAAAAGAGGGGAAAAAGTCCTGTTGGCTGATTTTCAGGTTTTTTTAGGCAGCGTAAATCAAATAGAAAAATGTAGTGATCCATTGGACATTTTCAAAAGTAGGATGAGCTGCCTGATAACATATATGAAGATGGCATTCCCAGAAACATCAAACGAATTTTATTAATAAGAATAATTGAATTTTAGAGTGGTTAAGTCATTACCCTAGACTTTGAATTCTGATTCTATTTGAATTCCAGAGGTAGTGTTTTACAAGTATCAGTAATACAGCCTCCTTCTAACAGAAAAATAATCTCATATCCAATATCCCATATTGACTTACTTTAGTTATAATATTAACTAGGTGTAAACAAAAATTCTTAAGCTTTTATTTCTTAAATAATTTTTGAAAAACTTAGTTACAAATTAAATACCAGAAAAGCTTACAAAGTCAATAAAATTCAAATTAATGACATTAATTTAATGTGAAAGATGAAGTTGTTTTTTTTTTCTGAAACGAGAATACTAATTGCAAGATGAATTTGTAGCTAAGTAATAGAACTATTTTGCAGTTTCTTTTTTAGTTTGACAAGCTTATATGCCACATGCTTTGTGACAACTTAGTTTTGCAACCATGTTTCTCTATTCTGAGTTCTTCAAAATATCCTTCAAATAATACTCTGTAATGTCATTTGACTGTCACTTGGTGCATTCATTTATTTATTGTTAATTTTGCCTCTTTTATCATTAGCTATAATGAAGTATTGCCACTTGGTTCCAATTTGATAGTTTGTGGCTCTAAAATGTTATGCCTGTGTATGGTTAGTTATTAGATAATATTCATCTTGGTGATTAGGATATGTTTTCAGATTATCATCTAGAAGAAACCATAAAATTTAAGAAATTCAGATTCTTTAAATCATAACCGGGTCTCTAGTGTTTCCACTTAAAGAAAAAATTTAAACTTCACTTTTCCTAGAAACACTATATGTTAGAACCATCTGGTTTCTACAGAGTAATAATGGAGACCCAGGAAAGCCTCAATCTCCACCTACTCTTCAACACTCCCTTATTTAAGGCTGCCACTATTTTGCATTTGAACTTCTGCCAGAGTTCTTAGTTTTATACACAGCAAACTATTCTCCACATTGTTCTATACTAGTAAGTTTTCTTTGACACAAACTTAGGACTCAACTTAGGAATCACCTTTTTCTGGAAACTTGCCCTATTGCATCTCCATATCTTCTGCTTCCTTACCCTTTCTATGATCACTTTCACCGTCTTCTCCCCCAGATTGAATTAGATATCTTTCCTTTATTCCTCCTTTAACACTCTAACACGTTTTGCATACCTGCTTTAATGGTTAGCCTGTTGTGTTAATAGTCCTTAGTTTCTGGCTTCCCCAAATAGGCTATTAGCTTCTTGAAAGTAAGGCCTGCGTTGTACATCTTCTAACTGCTATATTATCTGAATGTGAGGAAGGTTCTGGTGATAATAGTTGTGATCTTAAAACATGGTCAGTCATTTGTCTTTAGAAACTTAGAACTGAAGAGTCAAAGATAAGCAAGAGCAAATTAGACATTTCCTCATCTTTCCCATTCATGTATGTAAAATTTATACAAATTACCTAAATAGTTAATACAGTAGAGACTTCTAGCACATAAGCAACATAATTTTGGAAGTAATCTTTCTATAAAGAATAAAATGATAGTGTCATTTTTGACATCCTTTTGTTTTCTTTTGATTAGGTGCTGTGATTGTCTCCACACCCCAAGACATTGCATTGATGGATGCACACAAGGGTGCTGAGATGTTTCGAAAAGTCCATGTGCCTGTAAGCATTTATAGCTTCATTGTTGCAAAAATACTAGATACTCCTAACTAAATAAGCAAGGCTTAGAGAAATAGAATGCAAGTTTGATTTTAGATATGATTTTAGGTACATATTTCACTTTTATTGTTACAATAAAAATACACATATAGGTGCAAACATGTATACACATTACATTACATAAGAATAATTCAAATGCCTGCAGCTATCACTGACAAAAAAAAAATCACAGGAGTGCTTTAGTAATGTATTTAGATGGAGAGACTTCAAATAGATCACCAGTGGATAAACAGGTAAAAAGAAATGACTTTTTCCCTTTTGTCTCCTGCAATTTAACTCATTTATAGCCACCCTTCTAAAAACAAATCTAAGGATTTTCTATACAATATGGCAAAATAAAGTGAGTTAAAAATAAAACAAAGGACAGTTAAAATCAGGTGGAGTTAGAAGTAGTCTGTAAGCAAATTGCATGCCATTAAAGGACCTAAATCCATGTTAGAAGTATGCCATGACTTTTCTAGCAGCCATGGGAAAGCAAGATAGGACCATTATAAAACTGTCTGTTTTCATGAGCTTTCATGAGTTTTTTAAAAGAGCTTAATGCTCAAGAGAAAGAGCTGAGACCAGAGAGACATAGACCTTCCCACCAGTCCCCACTCACCGCCACCAGGTTCTCAGAGCAAAGAAACTGTGTATATAATAAACACAGTCTCACCACCTTACTGTTAGTGTGCCACAGCAAATACAGGCAGACTTGTGCCAAAGGAACAGTTTAGAACATGCATTTCAGTACAAAATCAATTTGATGCATCTGTATATGTGGTTAACTGACACTGTCGCTTGTGGTGACCATGGCTGTGGGGTAGGTCGTGCATTACTTTTCTAGTTAGGGGATCTAATGACCATAGTTGCCAAGTTTTGCATTATAATCCTTATATTACTTTCACTCACATGAGGCACTTGACACTACCCTGTAAATATAGAGGCAAACAGTTTCACACTGTTAACAGATTATTCTCTAGGCTCTCAGAGCGTGGAACAAAAAAAATCCATATGGAACACAGTAATTGGGAAGAAGGATCGTCAGAAAGCCCAGGTTAGGCTGTTGCTAGGTGGTTGCCACTGAAGAATAAAAGTTGAAAATATTAGCAAGGAAGTATGAGGAAATTATTCCAAGTGACAAGTCTTATACTTTATAAGGCGTAGGGCTAGTGCAGGGATTACTTTGGGGAATGAAAGAACTATTTGTTATCAGAAAGTTAATATTGGAGTTTACATTTGCAGAGGTAGAGCAGTTCTGGGTCATGACAAGGCCTAGCATGTAGCTGGTAATGGTGTGTGGGACTGAGGTGGACTAGAAATGAAAGTCATTGGAACTATATAATCTTTTTAAAAATCTTCCTATATCTTTATTGTAGAGCTCTTTTTTCATTCCTATGTTTTAATTATTTGTCCTCTAAATAGCAAAAATTTTAAATGTGATAGAAAGTATTAATCATCTTTTAAACCTGTAGAAAAGATAGGTGATCAGTAATCATTTCAAGTGAAAGAATGAGAATCTTTCAGGAATGAACTCGGCAAGCAGTGGAACAACTGTTGTGCAACAATGTTGTAAAGGGGACCCCAACTCTGAGTGGAGTTTATTTTTGATGACCCTGAGATCTCTATGATTTTCAAGTGACTTGGAGTCTATCTAAATTATCATGGAGCCTCTGAAATTAGAAAATGTTTCATAAATGTAAATGAGAAATGTTATGTTTTGTTTAAACCACTTTATTCCATTTTTTTCTCTGGTTTTTAGTCTTGCTCTGTTTTTTTTTCTCTTTTGAAGTGCATTAGTTACCATGGAAACAGTGATAGCATTGGAATTCATTGGTATGGACAGAGTTTAGTAATATCTTGTCTACAAGAACATTTTGAAGTTAATTTAAATGATTTTTTTCAAACTCAAGGCTCAGATAGGGGAAGGACAAGAAGAGATGAACTATAAAATTATCTGTTCTATGCCTGAAATGATATCAACTCTGCCAAATCCTTGATTATCTCAGAATTTATAGATAGGCTTTTTTTAAATAATAAAAATTTTCAATCACACGTTTTTAATGGCAAGTACTTTATTGTTTTGTGTCATTCTCACACACTTTTGCTACCTTCTTTTACAAGGAAGGCCCAGACACCTCAATTTGCTTTTTGCTTTTTGTTTTGTTTCTTAATAAAGCTCTAATACTCTGGTTTATATAAGTATCTCAGGCTTTTCTCACATGATCTACAACTGTGATAAATTTTTAAAAATTAATTTTTTTTTAATTGTGGTAACATTAAGAAATCTCTCCATCAAGTGTCACCACTGTAGGATACCAATCACCAAATCACCTATAGTCCACCACCCTAGTCCATGGTGCTTCCTCCTCTCTTGTTCCTACCCCTCTTCCACCTCTTTCCTTCTCTGGATGCTTCAGTTCTATAGTCAGTTTTCAAGAGTTAGTTTTAAGGTTGTCTTTTCTGGTTCTTTGTTGTGTTCTCTATATTCCACTCATTAGTGATACCATCTGGAATTTATCTTGCTCTCTCTGACTTATTGCACTTAACATTATCTCTCCCAACTCCATCCATGTTGGTGCCAATGGCATGAGTATCTTTTCTGATTGCTGAGTAGTATTCCATTGCAATATATATATATATATATATATATATATATATATATATATATATATATATAGAGAGAGAGAGAGAGAGAGAGAGAGAGAGAGAGAGAGAGAGGAAATAAACTTTAATATAACTTCAGAGTTGGGAAGGAGATTACCTAAGAGAGGGCTGGATAGGGAAATCCCTGTGATGCTCTCTCTCTCTCTCTCTCTCTCTCTCTCTCTCTGTGTGTGTGTGTGTGTGTGTGTGTGTGTATTACATCTTCATTTTCCATCTGTTTGGGCATTTAGACTGTTTTCATATCCTGGCTATTGTAAATGCTGTTGCAATGAACATGGGAGTGCAGTTTTCCTTTTGAAATAGTGTTTTTGTGTTCTTTGGGTAGATATCTAGGAGTGGAATTGCTGGGTAATATGGCAGACCTATTTGAACTCTTTTGAGAAACCTCCATACTGTTTTCCATAAGAGCTGGACCAGTTTACATTCCCACTGATAGTGTATTAGGGTTCTTTTTTCTCTGTATCCTTGCCAGCACTTATTGTTTCTGGTTCTTTTGATATGGGCCATTCTCACAGGAGTGAGATGGTATCTCATTGTGGTTTTGATTTGCATTTCTCTGATGATAAGTGATGTTGAACATTTTTTCATGCGGACACCTCAATTTGAAATACTTCCTACCATTTGAACTTGTGGAGTCACAGAAATTTCACTATCCTTTCCAGCTTTGAAAAGTTTTATGAAAGTTTATTTCCTCTATTATTCCTCTACAAAGGAATCACTTAATTTTAATTCAATAAATAATTAATAGTTTATGTATTCTACATATATGCTTATTTACTGTGAGGGTGAATGCTAAGTGCTGATGATAATTTAAGAAAACGAGGTGGGATGGGGGTGGTGAAGCCTTTGTTCCAAGGACTTTTCATCCTGTCAGCTAACAATATTATGTTGTGCAGGGACCCTAAATTCTGAGGAATGTGAAAATACCTTCTTCTCTGTCATTGTCAAGAAGGGCTTTCATGGAAAAGCCCTGCTTTTCTTTTTTTTTTCATGGTTCTATAAATTTTGCATATGCTGTTTCCTTGCCTGATAAGCCAGTGTTAGCTTGAGAACTTATATTTGTTTTTCAAATCAGGCATCACTGCCTCTAGGTAGTTTTTCCAAACTGTCAGAAAAAGTTAATTCTTTCTTTTTTGAAAGAATTACTGAACACATATCTAGTTTGGCTTTTATCCTGCTACAAATTTACCTATCAGTCTCCACAGAAGAATGTGAGTTCCTGGAGGGCTAGAAAACATGACTCAAATATGCTTAAATGTTCAGTTACTTGACATATACAGGCATAAGGTAAATACTTACTAAGTTGATATTTGACCTGGGATGTAATGTCATACTAATCTGCCATTCTTTTTTATCTGCAATTTATAGACTGCTTTGCCTTGCATTTTCTCTGCCACTGCCAAAACTGGTCTTCTTCCACTTCCAGATTTCCACAGTTTCTCTCCTCACAGCCTTCAGCATGCTATTTCCCCACCTAAGTATCCTTCACTTTGAACATGGTAATTCCTTTGTATCATCTGGTATTTAGATTAATGGGCACTTTCTATGGGAGACATGTCTTACACCTCTTTATGATCCGGGAACATTCCATCTCCCCTTCTGTAACTTTCACATTTGTCAGAATTTTCATATTTATAATGCCATACTCTAAGCTGCATGAGTATAGGACTATACTAACTCCCTCTGTATCTAGAACATATAGCTGCTCCCTAAATATATATTGGATGAATGAGTGGTATAGGATTTTCATTTGCATATCAGGGGACTGGGAGAGAGACAGAATTTAGTCTAAAAAGAATCAGGATATCATAAGATATAGGTGTTCCTTTGTCTGTAATTGAAGTGGTATGAGTTGAGTGTGTCTATGTTAGGCCAGGTTTGATAGAGCCTTAAGCGCCAAGCTAAGGAATGTGAACTTTCCTCTTGAGCTTTTACAGGAATCCATAAATAATGCTGGATAGGAAATAGACATAATTAGAATGGCATTTTAAAAGGATTTAATCTGGTGGAGATGAATAGAAAGGATAGGAGCCAGGAAAGTGTGGAGGCAGTGAGGAAGCATTTTGCAATGGTCAAAGTTATTTACAGTGCAGGTTGTGACCCTCAGTGAGTCATGAAATCATTATAGTGAGACATGTAACCTAGTTTTTAAATAATATCAAGGTAAATTGCTTTAAGAGAAAATGTTATTTCATAAAGATTTGACTCACATGTGTTTTTTTGGATCAAGATGTAAAATATTTCTCTTCTCAGAAGACAGTTTTAATAAGTAAGAAAAACATTTGTGTAGGTGATAG